GACAGGTGGGCTTGATAGGTAAAGAAAGCAACACACTGTAGGAGCCAGAAAGCAGGGCAGTCTGGGTGCAAGAGGAGCTCTGGGGAGGGAAGCTGCTTAGGTTGCTCGTGAGAGCAGGGCCCAGGGCTGCCACCTCTGCCTCTGTAGAAAGAGTAGGGCTTGAGGGTAGGAGGGTTTCTGGTTCACATCCAGTTTGGCCACACTCCTTGGCTCTGGGACAGGGCAAGATGGGAGCAAACCCTATTAAACTCATGGATCTGTGATGGGATTAAATGGGACGTGTGTGTGTGATGTGCAAACCACCATTCTTAGAAATAAAAGGGGACCCCTGGCCCAACCCTGTGGCCTAGTGGGTACAGGAGCTAGATCCCACAAGGCCAGCCACATGGTTCAAATCTTGTCCCCACTGGCTTGAGAAACACACTACACACAGGTGCATGCATGTCCACAACCCTGACAAGATGGGAGAAATGGAGAAGGGATCATGGCATTACCATGCCCCGTTGTGAGGTATTTCCTCCCTCTCCTCTCTCTCTGTCTTTCTTTGTAAAGCACACATACTCTCTGATAACTTTTTTTTAAAAGAAACAAAAGGGAGCCCAGAACATGAGGGCATATTTCTAAGAGCTTCCTTTGAAAAAGTGAAAAGAGGGGCAGGTGGCATGACGGTTAAAGGTTCTGGATTCCCACATGGCCAACTGCAATTCAAGTCCCAGACCTGGTGGTTTGCGTTCTCACTTTCCCTTTCTCTCTCTCTGTCTCTGTCTGGTCAAATTAAAAAAATAATGATAACAAATGGAATTAAATAAATAAATAGTTCTTTTTTAAAAAAAAAGAAAAAGAGAAAAGAAAACGTGAAAAGAGGACCAAGAGGTGGCATGGAAGTTAAGATACTGGATCCCATATGGCCAGCTGTGCAGTCCTGAAGCTGGTGGCTTGAAAATCATGCAGGCCACATGTGTGTGCATGCCCAAAATCCTGAGAGGAGACTGTAGAAGAAGGGACTGTGGTGTGGCCATCCCCTCTGGGGGTGATTTGTCACTTTCCAAAACCCCTGCCCTCTCTCTCTCTCTTACAAGCGTATGTGCCCTATAGCAAAAAAAAAAAAAAAAAAAAAAGGGAAAAAAGGGTGATATTATCTTAATAATATATAGTACTGACTCAATATATACAAAATATAATTTTAACATATAACCAATACACAAAAATCAGTATTATAAATGAGATATTTTCCTTTCTTTTTTGCATCAAGTCTTTGAAATCTAGTACATTATTTACACTATAGCTCAGGTTAGGCATGGCCCCAAGTCAACTGCTCAGGTGCCTCATGGGCTACTGAATGCCCTACAAGACAGTGCAGTACCTCAGGAGGACCTTGGGGGAACGTGGCTGAACCAGGCCCTGAATAACAAAAGAAGAGGAAGGATAGTGGAATAGGGGAGGGAGAAAAAGGTGTAGGACCCTGTGAGAGGATGGTGAGAGTCCCAGTGGGAAAGGAGGAGGGAATAGGGTGACTTAGGGTTCCAGTGGTTCAATGACAACAGTGCAGGGTCCTTGGCTTTGGCACTGACTGCTCTGGGAGAGCCCTATCAACTATGGGGATTCCAGTTAGGGTGCTATTTCCTCTATTCC